AAAGAGCTTTCATTGAAAATCTGTTTGCTCGAAGGGATGGCGGCAAGAATGACCAAGTGGAGAGGAAATTTTCTAGTGGCATTGCCAAATTGGCGTACTGTTGTGACATCGTAATCTTTGCTTTTCAGTTCATCAGATACTTCAAGTTCAGTAATATCTGGAAGAAGTCCTCGAATAACGATCTTGATGGTTCTTTCTGTTGGAGATGGTACGGTGTGGAAATCGATGTTGTTTTTATGCAAATATTATTAAACGATTCTAAACAGGTCGATGTCTGTGCATTGAAGTTCGATGTTATTGTTGTCACAAGCTTTGGCTAAGATGCCTTCGGCTGGGACAGCAGACATAAGTTTTGGAGAAACTTTGCACCAGACGGGACCGGGTAGGAAAATTGGTGGAACTTTTGGAAGACGTTGTTAGATTTCGATGTTTGAGTCAACAGATGGGTTGGTTGCGAATGATTTCTTATCTATTGTAGGTTTGTTCGATGCATTGTTATTGGAAATGACTGCAGGTGGTCCAGGAGAAGCGGATGTCGAGGTCTGGTTTTCGCTGCCTCTCCAGCTGTTTTCGGTGCAGGACAATAAATATGAAACAGAAGGTTTGTTAGTGGAAGTTTTTGGTGGCAGAGAGTTTCGATTTTTCTTAAGGACGAGTAGCGGAGGAGTGCTAACGCGTTTCCGTCCTGCACCCCTTCGGAGCATGGCAAGTTAGTTATCGGTTTGCTCGTTGCTAGTGGAACCTTCTCGACGGTGTGAGACCCATCTGCGTACGCTGTCGGCGTCACTTGTCACGCGGTCTTGGTGGGGGGGGGGGGGGGGGGGGGGGGGGGGGGTTGTAAATGGTTTTGCTTATGCAACTGTGTGTCGAGGCAATGAAAAATAATGACAATAGTCGATAGATTTTCGTTGCTTAATTAGCGGTGCATGGTGCTGTAGTAGAATCTATTGATTACTAACAATGCGGTGTGTGAAATTTTTCGGCGGCTGGGTGTCGATATATAAACATATTACCGTACTGACTAGTGAACTGTTCGCATAATTAGTTTATCCGGTGTCTGGTCGCGTCTACGTTTCCGGTGGTAGCTTATCTCCCCTTATTTCAATTAGGTCGTGGGTGGTGTCTATGGATAGGTATTTTCCTCTCCTATCCATTGATATCATCCTCTTCACCGTAAGTTGTACTTTGGTGTGGTTTTTTAGTGTTTTTCTAATAACTGCCTGTGATTAGTCGATATTTGTTTTTGCTGTTTGTTGGTCTTGAGAAGAACCGTTTTACATGTGTGTGTGTGATAAGTGTTCCGTAACATATCTTCCACGTGTGATCAAAATATCCGACAAGTAGACTATATAATATGTGGGATTATTATATGTATAGAAGAATTTATATCCGAAGCAATAATTGAATAATATGTACCAGTAGAATATTAGTTTATAGTTATGTCATATTTTATTTTTATTTTTAATTATTTAGCTGATGACATCAGAAACTTCATTTAGCAACGTTTATTTTAAAATCTTAAAGTTAAAATAAACTATAATAAATCTACAATTCCCACTGTCCATTATTCAAAAATATTGTACACTGTAATTTATTAATTATTGCATTCAAACATTTCAAAGTTACATACAACAATAACAGAAAAAGGACTAAACTAGAAATTAGTGCATCCCTAGCTTTTTTACCTTTTATTTGTTGACTGAAAACAATTTTAAAATAAAATAAATTAATTCTACATAGGTAGGTTTCCATTTTGTCTAATTAATAAAGTTTATCCATTTGTATATTTGTTAAAGACCAAATACCCGCATATGAGAGCCAGTTAATTTATAGTACGTATAATAATAAATTAAAACTTTCAGTCATTGTTGTATAATATGTACAAAGCAAACTTCCAAAAACGAACACTCATCAAAACCTGCACCAAGAGTTGAGAATTATTTTGCAAAAACAATTGCGATAAAATAGATGTATTATAATTATTAACATGGTAAAATAAGTTATTTTAAATTAATTTATAATTCTCTAAATTGCAAGATGACTAAAAATCTTAATTAATAAATAATTAGTAAGGTCAAAATCATACTGTATGCAACATAAAATCGAATTAAATTAATAATTCCTGAAATTGTAATGAATTCGATGTAATGTTATGTAATATTAATTAATAAAATCAGGTTTAAGATCAATAAAAGAAAAAAATAATAATAATAATACTTTATACTTAATTTTCTGTAAAAAATAATAATACTGACCCATATTATTTACCAAATAAATTTAATATTTATTCATTTCTTAAATATTATCCTATAAAATTCGTAAATTAATATACTTACTTAAAAATGTATCAACTTGCAGATAAGTCTAATATTATCTTTCGTAATCTAATGTTATGATTCTATTTAATCATATTCAAAATGGTATACCAAATATATTATGCGAGTTTAAAAATTTTCATTTAATATTCGAAAAAAAAATGTACGAACATTTGAAATAAATTAATTCATTGATATAAGTAAGTTATTTTTTGGTAACAAAAACATTTAGAAAATAAGAAATTTCTTTATAAGTTACTTCTGGCATACAATAAAGTGTGGGTTGTAGATAAATATTTGTAATATTGTAATACACATAAAACAATATGAAACTTCAAATTTCTAATATTTGCAACTACGTACGAAAACAAAATATTAATAAGAGGTTAATTACATTTAATTATTCATTGATTAAATACATAATGTAAAATTATATTGGTTTTTATTGTTTTCCATAGTTGTAATATGTGATCATTGATAAAAATAACTTAGAGTTTCCAAACTTTCTCAACTTACTTAAAATTATTTTTTTTATAAGAAAAGTTTTCTTTTATAAAGTAACTTACGCCAGTATCAACTAAAAACGTATAATCGAAAAAAAAAATTGCTTATCGATACTTAAGATTTTAATGAATACTAACTCCAGCAATTATATCAAATAAAGTTTTAATCTAAAATACCAAGTGAAGATGTTATCAGTTATGTAGATGTATATTACTTTTAACAATCATGGTATTATAAAACAGTGTTGCAAAGGAAGGTACCTATTAAAAAGCCTTTAATTCTAGGTTCATGAGATGAAATTAAGCGAATCCTTTGAAAAGGAAATAAATTACCTTGGATAGCTTTCACAAAAGAAGGATTTTACACTTCTCTTTATTCAAAGGTTTAAGCCAACTTACGACGGATGTAAGTTGGTTACTACAATGATAATGAATACGCTTAAGACTACTACTAAAAAATGAAATGAAGACAAATTCTTAAATTGTTGTTTTTATCATAAAATATATTTACGTTTATACTTTTAAATATCTTGTACTATTTCAATACGTATGTGGTAATAACGTACTTCATGATATTAGCACTCCTAAGTAGCATTTATTATGATGTTTAATCAAATTTACCTTCTTTCTGATATTATATAAGTGTATACTAATTAAATCAATATTATTTTTCAATAAAAACTACTACGAAACCGACAGGAACATACAAATAACATGACATATAAATATTTTATTTGGCTTAAATGTATATAGTTAAAATGCACATACAGTCTTAAAATACAGTTTAAATTTCCATGGTAATAAATGTATTACACATTGATCGTACATTACACTCATCCATTATTGATTTATTAACACTAACGACTTAAATTAAATTTCTGTAAAGCCGATCTTGTCTTGGGATTCTTCTAGATGAAATTTACAATCATCATCACTATCATAGGCGCCGACTTTTATATTTTTACACGGAGGCAAATAAAATTCTTATACTACTGTTCATGAATATTATTCCGATTATCTTTATTGAGTTCAGATAAATTAAAATAAAAATTACATGAAAATACAATTTTTTTTACAATAGGTATATTACATTTTATGATGAAAATATTATTGTCTAAAATTATATTTATTTCAATTTAAATGTATTTCTTCTTGCTATGCACTTATTTATGAACATATTTCCTATTTTGCTTAGGTCTAATGATTCTGCTACTGTGTTATGACAATTTAAAAGTGTAAGATAATTTCAACTGGTCTGCGTTATGGTACTTCTGGTATAAGTTTTTAACCTCCTCAACATAGAAAAGGATCGTTCAGTAGTACATGTAGTAACTGGTATTATTAATATCAATTGTATGCATTTCCTGAGCTCTATTAAATGAATGACTAAATACGATTTATTTTTAAAAATATTTAATATGTCTATGAATGATGAAACAATTAATCCTTGGCCTTTAATTATATCATGAACCATATCTCTATAAAGTTTTAGCTTATCAATATTTATATCATCCTTGAAAATGTATATATTTTTTGGGGTGATATTTTTGGATCAATTAAAAACATTTCCACATTATATAAAAATTATCGAATTTCAGAGTTAAATCTTAGCTGTAAGCCAGAAAGTATATGATCAATGATTTCTTTATATATTTGATTATATTTACTTTCAGGTGAAAATTCAAAGGACTTAGTTACTCCGTCTTCATATTTTTGAGGATTTTTTTGTTTTCTAGATTCTTTTGGTGCATCTAATTTTAAATCTGACCATTCTTTCTTCGCATATTTCCATAAAATGTATCTCTCAAATTTGAAATAGTATCTTCTGAAGTATTCAAAATTTGAACAGAAAGTTTAAAATCCAATGATTTACTTTGCAATACTGTATTTGTTGTCTCCGTGTGTTTAATAATACTAATCCCTATTTTAAGCATTATATAAGTATCTGCAATTTTTAATTGTTCAAATAATTAATTTGCCTTAAAACCTGCATCATTTTGTTCAATATTTGAAAAATCTGACAAAAACGTCAATAGCTCATTGTAGTTATCCATAACAGAGCACAGAGAAGTATAACGTAACGTCCATCTTGTAGGACAAAATGGTCTTAGAGAGGTCATATTTTCGTCTTTTTGATTCATTTTAAACCAAATCTCTTTGGTGATTGTTTAATGAATGTAATTCATTCTCTTATAAAATTTAGTGTGTCTCTAGCATTTTTTACATTTCGCATACTATCTTGAGTAACAAGATTTAAAGAATGAGCTTGACAGTGAACAAACAATGCTCTTGGTTCAATTTCTTTTATTCTAGCTTGTAATCCTTTATGATTTTCAGAAACATTGCTAGCACCATCAAAACATTGTTCTTTAATATTATAAAAATCTAATTCCAATCTACATAAAATATCTTTTACAATTTTGAAAAGAGTATCAGAATCTGTTTTAGGCGTTTCGTAAAAACCCATAAAATATTCTTCGATTTCCAATGATTCTTTGTCCACTGTTCTTAAACAAAATGAAATTTGTTCTTTGACAGTAATATCACTAGTTTTGTCTAATAAAATGGCATAAAATATGTTTTCTTTAATTTGTTTGATAATATTTCTAATTACTTCTAATGACAGCATGCTAAGAATTTAATTTATTATATCGTGGAAAATCCACTTATATTTTGTTCTACCTAACCAGTTATTTAGTTCAGTCGAATCTTCCGATCGAAGTTTTAATAACTGATTTAAATTTGCAGATTAGTCTGTATGCCCTCTTAATGCCAAGCCTTGTTTTGCCAAAAAAAATACTGAAGATATTATTTTATCAAGAGCTAATCTAGATTCTTCCATAGACTTTTTATGACTATCCGACATTTATGCATATGCATTTGAATTTTTTTTTAATAGAAGAGTTTTTAACTGCATTAGTTTTATGCAATTCTAAATTTTCATGCATATTAAACCTTTCAACAGCTTTTTTCCCGTTATTAAAACCCTCAGAAATAAATACAGTTACATTATTATTACTATTATTACTCATAGATTTAAACAATTTTCAAAAAGCTTTATCATCGATTTTATTATGTTCTAACCAGTCATATTTATATAACCAAGATGCTAAAAATTTTCTTTTTTTTGAAAAAACTTTTGAGGACGAATTATTTCCACAATCAATTTGATTATCACAATTTAAATTTATGTTAGAAGTGGAAGTAGATGAAAATAAACTATTATCAGAATTAATAAGGCTATTAGAATCAGAATTGTTCTTCGGAATAGTTTTTTTTTTTATAAACTTCCACATAGACATAATGAATTATTTTGTGTCTGAATTACTTATTTGGTATGTCCAACAAAAGTTAAATATTGTTTTATTCATATGTTAAATAATAGGGTCTATAAAGAAAATAGAATTTACCTTAGTGTTGTATATCTGCGAATAATGCACGTATGTTTCGTATAGACAGCAACAGTAAAATGATCAACTACATAGTGTAATATTCACTACTCAGTATTCAGTAATCAATACTGTATAAATATAGAATAGTCAAAATAATTCAGAAGAAATAAAAATACCATAGTACAGGTTATAAATAATTCCAACTTAAAATATTGTTATTAAGTTTCAGTTTGTGCGTGTGTATACAAACATACAGTATATATTATATAGTTATCACACAAGTCTTTCGTCCAAGGTTATGACTATTAGGCATTTCTATTTGGAACTATATACATTATAGATATATTTATACATATATATAAATGTGCCAATATGTTATCTATAGGGAACGGATTTATATGTAATAAAAATACATAAATATGTACATATGTATGTAAGTATAATTTATAAAATATGTACTAAAACCATCCAAATATGTAGGAAAAAAATTTAAAAAAAAAAAAAATTATAATTATTAAATTATCAAAATGATTTGTTGCATTGAATAATTACAATATATTTTAAATTATCAAATATTAAATGTCGCCTATTAGATCTGAAAATATTTTTAAAACGGCTAAATGATCGTTCCACATCAACCTACATCTGTTGATTTAAGCATATTTGAAGGGCATAATATTAGAAGGCGATAATTCCAAATTTTTAGAAGGGTGTCTGCCACTAATTATGTTATTAATTGATTTAAAATCAATATGGCCTGAAATTTTTTTCTGTCAAAACATGAATTTTCTTTTTTACTACTTCTCCTATTGGTCCGTTTACGAGTTTTCATTTTGCAATCGTTGATTCGACAATTTGCATACTTTCATTCAAGGACATATTTTTGTTTCTAATTTTTTAATTGTATGTGCAATAAAACTAAAATTCATTAAGATGAAAATTAAATTTGTTTTCAATGTTTCATTTTGCATAATATTTTGAGCTTTTCTAATAGCGATAAAAGTTCTGGATCTAAATTTGAAATAATTTTTTGTATTTTTGTACGAAGAAGACGTATGAATGATGAAATAATAAAATATGTTTAAAAATATTTACAAATTAGTGAAATATGTAAAAATATGTAATTATACCAAAATATGTAAAAATATGTAAAATAAAAGTAGCATCATATTAATAGGAATGATTTAAATCATGAACATTTCTTATCAAATTTTAAATATCTCGTTTTAATAAAAATATGTATTTACATATAAATCCGTTCCCTAGTTATCTATAATTTATAGTATCTTATAAGTTTTGTTCAGCTATTTTTAGATCATTTGTCCTTTTGATAAACATTTTCATATCGAAATTCATTAGTTTATAATAATAACCAAATAATTTTTTTACACAAAAGTGAAGTGCTGTTTTTACGTTTTACCACCCATTAAAATCGAAGAACGGGGGCAACGCCCACGTTAAAATTAAAGTACAGGGGCAATTGCCCCCGTTACCCCCGTGTAGTCGGCGCCTATGATCACTATATTAATTTATGTAAGCAAATAATAAAATAAAAACATTTTATATATTACACTAATTCGCTATACCTTTTCTTGAAAAACGGTAACTTTTTTCAAGAGCCGTTTTGACCTCCAACATCTCAAAACCTTCGCAAGACCAATTTAACACACCATCCATCAGGGTGAAATCCTCTCCAAGTGATAACTTTTCAATTGCACCATCCTTTTATATAAATTGAAACTATGAACTTTCTACGCTCAAAAAATTAACAGTGTAAATAAAGGTATAAACGATGTCCTGAGTATAAAAAATTCTTCAATATCACTGCTAGCATATACCATTTTCAACTGCTCTCGAAAAATTGTTATCAAAATTGTTTAATGGTTTAAAAATCTTATAATTCAAACAGTTTTTATTCAACCTATTAATAATTTTATTAAGAACAATATTAAAATATTTGCTACCACCTTCTACAATATCTCTTTAAACTCGTATTCTCATTCATCTACTAATTTCAATCCTTATTTATCTTTAAATATCTCTCCGTTATTTTTTATTATTGTCATATATTATTTATTATATAATATTGTATATAATTTTAAATAACACTTTTAAATAAAATAGTATGTCTATAATCTATTTTTTATGAACAGAAGAGAGAAGAAAGAAAATAAAAGTTAGTTCTATGAAAATTATTGAAACCGAAACCGAAAGTTAATATCTGTAGGATTCATAATACGCTACACTATCAATGATGATTATAAATGAAAGTAAACAAAAAAAGTATAAAAAAAAAAAATGTATAAGTAGTTTATTAATAAATAATAATATACCATAGTATATAAATATAGACTTGCATAACATGTATGGTACGCGTATAATTACTCATAATATAAAAGATGTATTGCCACAACCGATCTATCACTTTAAAAATAATTAATTTTTTTCCTTTCTAACGACAAATGCTTTATGTAATTTCTCATTTTGTCACACGAATCGAACATCGTTTATAAATGGAACTCAGTTTTTCATAAATGATTCAAATAAATTGATTCAATAAATCCGGTAAATTGGTGACGTCTCCCGGACCGGACGTAATGAACTGTCCTATGTGCAAACTTGATTGCTACCCGTACACTCAAACTCTCATGATAGAACTCGAGAACGTCGTAAATCACGAACGTGTATTATTCTCTTCTTTCGTTCACATACAAACACACACATGCGTAATAAAATTTGTACGACGCCAATAGAAAAAATAAAAAGGTATGTGTAATTCTATATAACTATATCTTATACAAGTATACGTCCATTTATTACTCTAATTTCACTGACATTTGAAAGCTGACTACATAGTTTTGTGTATAAAATATTGTATTAACGATTTTTTTTATTTCGATATTTTTCATTAATTAATTAATTGATTATCCTATAAGGTATTATACTCGTTTATTATAATATAAAATGCAACTGTCTAAATAAATCTAACTTCAGTAACTTATTGTTGAAAGATAATAAAAAAAAGAATAAATAATATAATGGTTTCACACGTGTTACGTTCAAACTATTATTGCATGAAAACATGTATTAATTATCATCAGTGTTGGGACTTACCTAGATAGATATTTTTTCATCTTTTATCTTATCTAGATAAATAATGCTAAGTTATCTAATTACTTATCTAAGATAACATTTTTACTTATCTAGATAATTGTATGTATTCTTGCCAAGATTAGAGTTATTATTATTTTTGAACGGAGACGAATTCAACAAATCAAAAACATCAAAATCGGTCCAGCCGTTCTTGAATTATAAATTCTGTAACTAACCTGACTTTCTTTTATTCATATAGATTTTCAATTCATAATCATAATTCATGTACTATTAATGAGTAATTATTATTTCTTGGTGACATTTTGTTTTTATTTTCATGTCGGGAAAATATTTTTGGTATTTTTAAACTTAATTTCTTATTTTTCCACGGAAGTTCCAAATGTAGTAGGTATTTGATTTTATTATACACATGTCACTCATTCGCTGAATAGTCATTACTTCACTCTTAGAACCGTAACGTCATAACTACTTATAGGATAATAAAAATCATCAAATTAATATTATATGGAAAACAATATTGTTAACTTAAAATAATTTTTAATGTACTCTGTATTCATTCTGAAACGAACAGAGTAATTTTAATTTTTTTTTTTTTTTTTGTATAACATTTCAGTGATTAACTATCATTAAATATTATACATTATATATAAATACCGCTTAATGGTACACTACATTACTACAATAAACATTAAACACTTAGGTGCCTATTGATAATAATGATTATAATTGAGTCTTGATAGATATTATTAGAATATGAAATATTGATCAAAAAATAACATTTTTTGAAAATATCTTTTTTTTATTCTAGATTAAAATGAAACTATCTTTTATCTTTATCTAGATGAATTTGGACATATTATCTTTCATTTTTATCTAGATAAATTTTGCATTATTTATTCCTAACACTGATTATTAGGGCTAGGATTTTAATGATCCAAAAAACCTAAAAAAAATGACATTAAAATGACCTAAAAATGACCTAAAAAAATGACCTTAAAAATGACCTAAAAATGACCTTAAAAAATGCCCAAAAGATAAAAAAATGATTTTAAAATATTATAAAAATGCATTATAAATTATAATTTATAATTATTGATTATTATTTATTAATTAATATTTCGGT